CAGGGATGGAACAGGGATGGAACAGGGATGGAACAGCGACAGGGATGAAGCAGGAACAGAGAAGGGGCAGGAACGGGGACGGGGCAGGGATGGGGAAGGGGCGGGGAAGGGGACGGAGCAGCTCCAGGGAAGGAGCAGGGACAGGGAGGGAACAGGGGTAGGGATGGAGCAGGGAAGGGGACAGCAGGGAGGATACAGTAGCAGGATAATGGGGAAAACTCAAGGCTCAGTGGCAGGGACGACAAGGACAATCAGGACACTGGGAGCCCGTGGGGGAAGGTCCCTGCCGGGTCCCCCCTTCCCGAGCCCCCCGGGAGCCCCTCACACAGAATCCCCCCGTTCACGGCGGTGGCTCCGCAGGGCTCCCACCCCTCAGCCCCCAGCGCCGAACCGGAGGGACCCCCCTTCCCACCTCCCAGGATCGGGGGGGATTTGGGATCGCTGAGCTGCTCCCCACGGCCCCGTCCCCCCCCTGCCAGGGGACCCTGGGGCTGCCGCGGCCGTGACACACTCACAGCTTTATTGCCACCGGCAGCACAAAACCGGCCTCTCCCGGATACCGGCACCATGGGAACAGGGACACCCTGGGAACAGGGACACCCTGGGAACAGGGACACCGAGGGAACAGGGACACCATGGGAACAGGGACACCCTGGGAACAGGGACACCATGGGAACAGGGACACCCTGGGAACAGGGACACCAAGGGAACAGGGACACCGAGGGAACAGGGACACTGATGGAACAGGGACACCAAGGGAACAGGGACACCATGGGAACAGGGACACCGAGGGAACAGGGACACCATGGGAACAGGGACACCAAGGGAACAGGGACACCATGGGAACAGGGACACCGAGGGAACAGGGACACCATGGGAACAGGGACACCCTGGGAACACGGACACCAAGGGAACAGGGACACCGAGGGAACAGGGACACCATGGGAACAGGGACACCCTGGGAACAGGAACACCATGGGAACAGGGACACCAAGGGAACAGGGACACCCTGGGAACAGGAACACCATGGGAACAGGGACACCGAGGGAACAGGGACACCATGGGAACAGGGACACCATGGGAACAGGGACACCAAGGGAACAGGGACACCCTGGGAACACGGACACCAAGGGAACAGGGACACCGAGGGAACAGGGACACCATGGGAACAGGGACACCGAGGGAACAGGGACACCCTGGGAACAGGGACACCCTGGGAACAGGGACACCGACAGAACAGGGACACCATGGGAACAGGGACACCAAGGGAACAGGGACACCAAGGGAACAGGGACACCATGGCAGCAGAAGGGCAGCAGCAGAAACGTTTCTGCCACCACAGGGACGGGCCCTTGCTGGGTTTTGCAGGGCAGTGACACCCCCAGTCCCCCAAAGGCTGCAGGAGACCCCGGGACACCCCCAGTCCCGGGGGCTGTCGGAGAGGGGATGTTAAGGACAGGGAGGGAGGGACCTGGGCTGGGCTGCGAGGGCCAGAGTGGCACTGGGGGATCCTGGGGAACCCTCCCGTGCTTCCCACCTGTGGGACCAACGGGGGTGCAGAGGGACGGGCTGGAACAGCTACTTTCCCTGGAAATGCTGGCAAAGGTCCTGTCCCCCTGGAGACCCAAGTGGAGGCCTCACAGCCCCGAGAGCCGGGTGTCCCCCACCCACGGGGGCTCCACGTGGGGATGCAGCGGTGCCGGACACGCCACTGCACCTCCCACCATCCTGCCCTCGGAAAACACCCCCTGCAGCTTTGGGAAAGGCAGGAGGAGCAGCTCTGCCTCCAGCCAGAGCACTCCAGGAGGTTCGGGAGGGGGGAGGAATCACCCCACCTCCTCCAGGGGCAGCCGGGGGAATTTAAGGGGGGCCCAGGAAGTCACCACTGCAAGTTTATAAAAGCTTTTATTTGCTCTTGGTACGACCAAGAATGGGACAGTGATCTTTTATACAATTTGATACAGTAAGTGGTACAAAAGAATGTGTTTTAAATAAAAAGCCAGAGTGGAGTAGCAAAAATATTAAAAGATTAAGTAAAAAATTGTCGCATGGGAATTAATCCAAGACCTTGATGCTGTTTTATTATTCCACCGTCCGAGGGCACGAGGCGCCGCGGTGACCACGGCCCCCACGGCCCGTGACACTCGTGGGGCAGAGCCAAGCTCAGGTTTGGTTTGTCGGGCCCGATTGAATCGTTTTAACACTGTTTTTGTGGCAGGAAGGCAGCGCCGAGCCCCCCCCCCCCCGTGGGCAGGGCCGGGAGCCCAGCAGGGCCTTCCCAGGCAGGCTGGGACCAGCAGGGAGCTCAGACACCAGCACAAATCAAATCACCGCAAATTCCTCCAACATCGGTTTTTTTTTTTTTTTTTGGGGGGGGGGGTGGTGTTTTTTTCTCTCTTTTCGGCACCGACTCGTGCTGCTCGAGCCCACGCCCGTGGGTACAGCTCGTGGTTGGACAGGAACAGAAAATAGACCAAATAGAAAGATTTCAGTTTATTAACCGGGCAGGGGGAGGGGGACGGGGGCGGCAGCGAGAGGGACCAGCGAGTGGCTCGGGCTCCACCTGGGGCTCGCACCGGGCACGGCGTCTACAGAGGGGTCACACGGAGGGAGCCGAGCCCCTGGGAGCAGGTAAGAAGCTCACGTTTAAAACAAGGATTATACAAAAAAAACCCCCTTGATGCATATTCGCCATTTTTTTTTTTTTCCCTTTTTTGATCACGTCAGAAAAGTGCAGATTTAACCAAAAGCGGCCGGGCTCTGCCCAACGCTGAGCGCCCGGCCCGGCCCCGCCGGCCACTCGCCTGGGAAGGGTTAACACACACGGGGACAAAATGCCAGCTACAGAGGGGCAGGGAGACACCTCGGTGAGTTACTACAGGGGGAGGAGACGCCTCGGCGGGTCGCTCCGGGGAAGCCGCTCCGAAGGAACGAGGAGTTCCACTGAAAAACACCGTCATTTCATCATTAAAATTCACTCAGCGTTACCCCAGTGCCGCCAGGGCCGAGCGGACAGTCCCGGCCCCGCGGGCACCAGGAGGCACCGGCTTGTCCCGGGAGGAGCGGGCGGGGCTGGGGAGGCAGCAGCTGGGGAGGCAGCAGCGTGTCCACCCTCGGCGTGTCCGTGGCCAGAGCTCCGGCTCCAGGTGGGACTGAACACGGATCGAACACGGACTGAACACGGACTGAACACGGATCGAACACGGATCGAACACGGCGGCTCCCGCGGGCTCTGGGACCGGCAGAACCGAGCCCTCCTTCAGCCAGGACGGAGCCACGGGTGACACCAGCGCAGGAGGGCAAAGCTGGAGCAGCCAGTCCCGGCCGGGATCAGCTCCCGGAGCGCCGGGATCCGGGGCAGGGCTGGCCCCGCTCGGCTGCCAACGCTTGCAGGGAGGTAATAAATTAAACTGCCAGCTGGCTGGTTTGGGGTTTTTTTTCCTCTCTTTTCTCTCTCGGTCCAGTTCCGCTCGGCTCCCGAACCCCTCGGAGCGGCTGACGGGGAGGGACCCTCGGAGCTCGGAGCTAATTAATTAATGAACTGCTGTCGGTTTGGGAGTCGCATGTTATATTCATACACAGAAAAGTAGACAACCACATCACCCTCCAGAGAAACTAGTGCATGCAAATAACTCTTCCATAGGGGGGCTGTGCGGGAGGGGGTCGCTATGAGGACACGGCTAGAGGGGTTAGTCGGGATCTCCACATCGTTACCTCGGGACCTACATCAGTGCTTTGCATTACAGTTTTTTTTGGCAAACACTCCGCGTTGCCATCCTTTTCGTTAACACATCACACCATGAAGAAATGCAAATCAAAGCAGCATGCAGGCAAAAAAGAAAAACCAAAACCAAAACCAAAAAAACAACAACAAAAAAAACAACAAAAAAAATATAAAATAAAATAACCAAAAAAGGAAAGAGCGGCAAAGTGAGAAAAGAAAATGGCAGCGGGAAGAGTTGGGATCGCCAAGAGGAGACACAGCAGGTCACAGGGATTCTGCTTTTTGTTTTGCACCACCCTTTGTCCTCGATGCATGACACCAAGGGGTACAGAAAGCAATCACTACAGAGGTTGGGACTCAATGGCACAGGGGGGGATGGGATGTCTCCTGCACATGCTTCCACCAGAAGAAAAAGAAAAGAAAGTGAAAATAAAAGTTCCTTTTTCCACATAAGGCACAGGACAAAGAAACCCCACTCATGGACTCAAGGCGAAAATGAGTGTTTTCCTGGCTCTTGCTGATGCGTCTTAAGAGAACATGGGGACTCAAGCACATGATCCAGGACAGAAAATTCCACTGTTGTACAAAATCAATTGTTAATTCTAACTTTTATTCTTATACAATTTGCAGAAGAGTTGAGTATGATTGCTCTGGGGTTTAATGGCAGGAGGGACGGGGCTATCATACAACCCAAACAGTAGTGGTGAGCTGAGCAGGAACATGGAAAAATGAAGTCACGGAGATGGATTTCCTATACATGTGGTTGAGAAAACTGGAGTAGGCAAAGCTGTCCTAGCCGGAAAACCAGGGGGGGAGGCAGGAGCTCGTTAAGATGAGGAACAAAACATCGGTTTAAGGTTAAAAAAAACGGGCAGAGTGGTTTGTTTTGCAGCGAGAAAAAAGGGGCGGTGGATGGCGATTGGTGAGAGAGGAGAAGGTTCAGCAGCACTTGCTCTTCCAGCCCGTCACCCCACCGCCACTGCTGATATCTACATTTTCACTGTTGGGCTCTTTTACAGGGGTCTGCAAGGAAACAAGTGAGAACAGTTAGATGGGATCCTGGGGGAAAGCACTGGGAGCTGGAGAGCTGGTGAGGACTGACAGGACTGACAGAGGACTGACATCACCAAACCCGCACAAAGAGCTCCACAGAAAGGCAGAGGATCCTCCCCCTGCTCCAGCACAGACATGGAAAACCAATCTAAGGGTGGTTGTTTTTTTTTTTTTTTTGTTGGGTTTGTTTTAAATAAACAACTGGGAAAAAAACCCCCAGTGTTTGAACTTGGACCACCCCAAAGTCGACTGGAACTATTTCAGTTCCTGTGCTCGGACTTGGCGGAGTAAATAAATCCCAGCCTACAACCAACACGAGCTGAACTCAAATTATGTGAACTAATGACCTTCAAAAACCACAGCTTTTATGGATGAAGAGGGGCTGTTCCAAGCTCTGCTTCCTGCTCCTCAGGACAGCAGCTCCCGAGGCAGAGGACACACGGATTCCTCCACATCACAGGATGGAACCCAGCGGGACCAGAGCAAAAACCCCTCGAGTGGGTTTGATCCCACACCAACATCTACTTCCAGCTGCTTGGAAATGAACCCAAACTGAACTCAGCACACTTCAGTCTCTCTATTCCTTTTTTAACTCTCTGTCACAGCCTTGCAAAAGACCCCCCCCCAAGATGTTCAGACAATTACAGAGGCCAGAAATGAAGATTTAAGGTCCAAAGGGTCAGTGTGATTTGTAGCCCAACCTCCTGTTTACCAAAGGCCAGGGATTTTCACCCAGTCCCTCACATAAAGCTTGTCAAAAACTGATTAAGAAATGACTGAGAGCTACAGTGACAACGGGGTGACACTGCCAGGAGCATTCCCGTGGGAGGGAGACAGGGATGAGGCTCGGGATGGGGTTCACTGGAGCAGGAGCAGAAGCACAAAAAAATGCCAGCGTTGGCCAATCCACGTGTCCTGAGCTCCACAGAGTTTCCACGTGGGGCAGTGGTGGCCTTGGCAGTGCTGGGGCATGGCTGGACTCTGTGCTCCCAGGGGGCTTTTCCAGCCTCAAAGATTCCATGGTTCTGTGGGACACTGTCCACTCCAGGAAGGGAAAGCAACCCCCGGATGAACTGGTGCAACAGAACCTCCAGGGAAAGGCAGGAGCTGATCCCTGGGAACAACACTGGGAGTGACAGAGCTCATCCCTCTGCTCTCCCCACACCTGAACCCTTCCCAAGAGGCCCTCAGGAGCTCTGGGACAATGCTGTGCACTGACAGCTGCCAGAGATGGTGGCAGGGCAAGGACAATTCTCACCTCGCCAGGGGGAATGTTTGAACTGCAAGGACAAGGACGACACAACCAGGGCCAAACAAGGAGGAATCTCAGTTCCTGGGCTCTTTGATGTGGATTATCCCCTGCAGGTACCACCCCCACAACAGCAAGACATCAAACAAGCTTCAGAAAGCCAACACTGCTCCTTCAGGGACCCGTTTGCCTCAGCACAGCAAAGGCAGAGGCTGCAACTGGCTCAGGTGAACATCAAAAGCAAGGGGAGGTGAGATTTGGGGATGTTGTTCCAAAGGAATGCTGTGAGCAGCACCTACCTTTCGAAGAATGTCTTCTGCTAACGTGAGGAATGCCTTCTCAATGTTTATATTTGCTTTTGCACTAGTTTCGAAAAACCTAATACCGTGCTCCCTGGCAATCTGGGCAAAGAGAGAAGGAGGAGAGTGAGCTGGGATATTCCAGAGGTGCTGCCACTGCCTCGGGGTCAGCAGCACTGATAAAGCAGGGAATACTGAGCAGGAACATGATCCCAGTGGCCCCGGGGCTGTGCCAGCACTGCTGGGGCAGCAGGGCCAGGGCAGTGCCCTCCCTGTGCTGGCACTGCTGGGGCACCTCCAGTGCTGGGGCAGCTCTGGGACCCTCACATGAGAGACACAGGGAGGGGCTGGAGCGTGGGCAGGGAAGGGAAGGGAGCTGGG